CAGCGCCCCTCGTCTTTGCAGCACCACGTTTAGCGGGAAGTTGTTTGGGTTATATTGTTAACAGCTGTCCACACATTAAAAAAAAAAAAACCCAAACAATTAAAATAATTGATGAATATTTTTATTTGAACTGTCAGACAGAAGGATGTCTGCAGATAGCAATTTCAAATGATGTGGCAAATTCTTTATTAGATATGGATCTGGCGTTTGACTAGATCGTTCTAACACGTGCATTAATCTGAACTTTTTCTTAATTTTTTTCTGTATGTTTATGGTTTTGGAAAAATAAACCTCCACCAACCACAGTTTTAAGGCTTTTGCAATCTGTGAGGAAGTGCACATAGATTTGGACAAAATGGCTCCAAAAGTGGGGAAAAACCTGAACACCAACAGACCGAATGTGGATTGTTTATATTTTGACTTATTTTGCTTTGGAGTTCAACCACTTATTAACTATTTTTTTTTTACATTATTAATTTGGAGAGGGTCGGGGGGGAGGAGTTGTTTTTGAACACCTTTTTTTGTCTTTATGTTTGGTCCCTCACACAGTGTCTGTTTCTCGCAGGATTGCCCTCTCTCTTGCTCTGTTCATGTTCTTATAAACTCTGACCAGCTTCTCCGTCCCTGCTGGATCCGTACAGCATGATGCCACGTTACACTGTGGGGATGAAGTGCTCAGAGTGATGTGAAATGTTGGTTTTCACAGCTTGTTGTGGTCAACTTTGCATCTTGGTCAAAATAAATAAATAAATAAATACAAATAAAAAAAACTCAGTATGGTTTCATCTGAGCAACCATGTGGTGGAAAACCTTTTTGCTTAGAATGTCTTCTTGACACTTTTCCATAAAAGTTAGATTTTTTGTTTGATTGTCCTTCTCTCTGAGATGTGCATCTCTGCAGCTCCTCCAGAGTTTCCACAAGCCTTCAGCTTGTTTTCTGTGATTAATGATCTCCCTGCCCTCTTGGTTCAGGTGGACGACCACGCATGGCTAGTAAGTGTCTCATACTCACTCAACATGAAAACTTCACAGCCGGACATGTCGTTTGATTATCTTACCATGTTTTAAATTTCTCCATAACTTCCACCCAGGCCTGCCTGCTGCGCTGTTTGTTCCTTAATGTTCTCTTTCAAACCAGCTGGGTCTTTGCAGAACAGCTTGATTTATACAAAAAAAAAAAAAAAAAAATTCATTGCCCACAGATGGACTCCTTTTACTGTAGACATCTGAAAGGTGATTTAATTTAATGGCGTCATAGTCGAAGGAATGGAATATAAATGGATGCCATGATTTAAAAAAAAAAAAAAAAAACATCCTTGAATCAATGTCACAATTATGCACCAGTTTGTTGCTGGTACACCCCATAAAAAAGATCCAGTAAAATACATTAATGTTTGTGGTTGTAACCTTGCAAAATGTAAGAAATACCCCCACCAGGTGCATGCAGCACTTGTATCTGATCGCGAAGAAGAACCTGCAAAACCTAAATAATGATCGATTTGATTTGTTGATTGAGATCAACTGCAGGGTTTGCGTTGATCTTTTCTTTTTTTTTATAACATTTTCTGGATGCCGCTCCTCTAAACATCTGCCATGTGAGCACGAGGTCAGATTTAATTCATGTTAATTTTTGCTCATTAGAGTTCTGCAATCTCTTGCCAGGATTGCTTTTTTTTCCATCCCAGGTTTTACTTTGATCTCGGATTTATTCCAGGCTAATCATTTCATTTCAGGCGTCCTGAAGCGGCTCGCAGAAAGTCGCGCCGTATTAGCGCGGACCTCTGTTCGGGATCAGCGACCGCCGAGTGGAATCGGAAAGACTCGATTCTCCTTCTGCTATCGACTTATCCGTGACCTTACAGTCCCGCTAATAACAGGATGCGGTGCTGGCGTCACACGCGGTTTCCCCAAAGTGATATTAATCGATTGTTTCTGTAGCCTTCACCGAGCTTAGCAAGACTCAGCTGGTGCCTTTGTGACGACAGGTATGGCGCGCTGCGAGCTTAAGACTCTCCTTAATGTATTATTCATACCCGTTTGACCTTAAAGATGGAAATGCAAATGGGTGTCAAGAATGAGAGGGATCGTTGGACTTTTCAAATGCCAACTGGCCTGCCACAATTAAAACATATTCATTACAACAGCCCACAGGTCCCACGCACCCAGCTGAGATGTAAAACACCTCCAATTAACATTTAGATCATTATCTTCTCCCCTCTGAAGCCGCTGCACGTGTTCAGGAGCAGCACTGCTACAGGTAGGGATCAATGAGTGCTGTTTTATTTCTGAGAATAATAATAATAATAACAACAATAATAAAAATACACTAGACTGCCAAAGAATAGAGTTGCACTTGCTGAGAAACCTTTTTAATTAGCAAGAGTTCCGCGATCTGCTGAACTGTTGGTGGTTCTGAAATGTGCAGCATGAATCAATACTGCCACCTGTTGATGGAGTCCAATATCGACCACAGCCTCTTCGTTTTGAGGTCAGTCCGCGTCATGTCACTTTGCAGCCACAAGATGGCAGTAGTGACAAATTTTGATGGATTTGGGGTAAAATCTGAGATGTGATCAATGAATTGAATATTTCTCCTGTATTATTATTATTATTATTATTATTATTATTATTATTATTATTATTATTATTATTAGTAGTAGTAGTAGTAGTAGTTGTTGTAACAATATTACTTTCTCATTAGAATTTTGAAGTGATATTTTTTTGATTTTGCTCATTTTATCAGACGAAATAAAAAAATCTGATCAAAGTTTGTTTTATTTATTTATTTATATTGAGTTAAACTGCTTCTTTTCAGGATAAAGAGCATAAAGGTAGATGTCCACACTAGTTGAAGCTCCTGCGTTTCACTTTCACTGAGGACACCAGTGTCTTCATGGACTCATTGACTTGCCTTTAAGTGTTTTTGGGGTGACAGTGAAGGGGTTAATAAAACAATGTTTCAGACTCCTGGTCCTTTCCTCAAACTGTATGTGCTGACTCAACACCTTTAAATATCAGCAATACTTCTACTCACCTGCACACATCATCACCTGCAGCTTTAATCCTTTCCCTCTCTGATTTAGGTTGAAAGTGATCTTTTATTTGACCAACATGATGACTCTGACTGGAGGTAAGATTGCTGTGTCTATAAAAATAACAGCGGAAACTTGCAAGCAGCTGTTTAGCAATTTCTAGAAAGGCTTGGAAGAAGTGAATGGAAAAAATTTCCCACTGATTATTTAGGAGAATTTCATTTCATTAAATTGTACAAGTTTATCAAATCTGTTCTTGAAACTATTTAGAGAAATGCCTCCTTCATTTCGTATGAGAAAAAAAAAAAACTTCTTGGTGAAATGAAAGTACATAATATGTAAGGTTTTTCTTTATCACATAAACTTTTGATGTGAGGCAGCTCCAGTCAGCAAACGCCTGAATTGTCTTAAAATGTTTTTCCTGTATATCTTAGGAGGAAACTTACCAGTGTCCGTTTAGTCTGAATCCTGTTCCTTATCAAGGTTGTGCTCTGCTGAGTGAGAAAGGGCAAATATACAAAAGGAGGATGCACATGTAGCATGCCTGGATCTGGACTTAGTTCAAATATTTGTGTTTCTTTAACATTTGAAAACCAAATTTAACAAAATGCAACAACTATGTCCTTTCCTCCAAATACACCAAATACCTGTTTGGACCTCAGACCATCAACCAACGTCTCAGTTTTATCAGGAAAGAGAATTTCTTAATTCCTCAGTAAGTCAATAATCCCACAGATATCAATGGATAGACATTTATGGAGCTTATATCCTTTTAGCCTTTAATCAAAGGTAGTATTTCAATCTTGTTACCATCGAAGCAATAATCATGTAGTCTGTCTCCAACACCTGGTAAAAGTATCTCTACGTCTTGCACTTTTTAACACTGTCACATCACAACCAAAACCACAAGATATTGTTTGACAGACCAACACCAAAAGTGAGGACTGTACCATGATTTGAAACCAGTCTGCATGTTGAGGGTCGGTGGTGAGCTCTTGTCCTTTGTATAAAGCTGTGCACTTATTGGAGATCATTTTTGGGTATAGGATCATTTTGTTTCTCACTCCTGGTTTTTCCAATACTTATTTGGATATTGTTTTAATGTTAGTCTAACTTTTGGCTTGGTAAATCCTTTTTTTTTCCCCTCTGTGATTATGTCTCTGTTTGTTTATCATTTTCACATCATGTTATCAGCTTCCTGTCCCTGCTAAAAAAAGAAATATCCTTGCAGCATGATTCTGTCGCCACCATCTTTGAGTTCTATAAATTTTTATTCTTGGTCTCATTTGAGCAAAGCACATTCTTTCATGTTTGCTGCTTTGGGCACACTGCAAACAGGAACTCTGAATCATTGCGCTACTTGCCACTAGTAATTCAGATGAATGTAATGTTTTGAAATTAGTTCACCTGAGCTGTGGATCTCTGCAGCTCCTTCAAACTTATACACTTTTTGGAGCAACTGGACTCAGTGGGAAAAGTATTGTAGTCTTGCGGTTGTGTTTTGTTACCTTTAAAACAGCTTTTCATGTAGCATTTTTTATTTTAAATTTAACAACACTCAATTACATTTGTTTCTCTGTCTTGTATAACCTGTGGGATTTACAGGAAGTGGTCTCAAACAGGAGGAGCTCACCGATTTCTGTCAGTGCCTGGACACTTATCTGTGATTATCTGACATTCAGGTGAAATGTCCTCAGTTAGACTATACTCCGTCATTATTAAAAAATAATAAAATGAAAAATAATTGAAACTGTTTGCTAAATTTCTACACTTTCTACAAAATGAAAATACAATTAGCAAATTCATTACATACATACATACGAAACATACAACGATTAGCAAAGTCACCATAAATGGTAAATAAACGCAGTTCCGCGACCACGTTGGACGAAGCCGCAGCCATGTAATACACGCACTCAACCGGTAGGGGGCGGAAGACATCTCCTCCTGTTTGGTGGAGCAGCAGAAGAAAAGCGGTTTATACACGGAAGCAAAACCTTGACGTAGACTTTACAACCTGTCCGCTTTCGTTTGTCTCTTTGGATTGAGTTGAGAGGACTGGACAGATTAGATTATACAGATTTGGTTTACATTTCGCCGGCTGGTGGACGCAGCGGACACGATGCGGACGGCTTTGTTGTCACTTTGCATTTTAATGCTCTGCGTGTTGGCCGCAGGTGAGTGAAAGTTTGTGTAGTTTAAATTATGTAGTCTTTTATTTGTAAATAAAAGACTAACACGAGTCGCGTCAGAACATAATATCAGCCATTGTTTACTGGTTTTTGTTTTTACTTTAATTACGTAATGTAGTTGTTGGTCAAAAACAGTGAGAGTTGACAACAAGCACGTTGAATAAGAAAATTCCAGAAATGTGCGGATATCCCCCATAAAGCGGCCATATTATCAGGTAATTACAAACCAGAACGACCTGAAAGGTCATCTTTTCACCTCGGTCAAGCTCGTCGACGTTATCTTTAAACTGAAAATAAAAATCTTTGATCTCAAGGGACTAGGACTGAACAACTGTGTGGCCAGAAGAAAACAAGGCGGAAGAAAAAGTTTTTTAGTTGCAAGGGAGGGTTGGACTCTGGAGCAATGGAAGAAGATCACGTTGTCTGATGAGTCCACACATATCCGCCTCAGGGTGAGAAGAGAAGCAGACAAAAATGATTTCACCCATCTTGTGTGTCTTCAATGGGGGCAGGTTCACGTTAAACAACATCATGTTGAGAATGAGGTCAGATGACTCTGATTACAAGTCATTTCATCAGTGGGGCGTTTTCTTCCCGGATGGCATTGCTATCCCAAGATAACAATGCCAGGGTTCATTGGACAAAAATTGTGGAGGACTGGTTCACGGAGCACGATGCTTCGATTTTGCACATGGATTGAACCTTAACTCCATTGACAGATTGTTAAGAGTTCACACATTTCGTCTCCAAGGTTTAGAATCACAGCAGATGCACAGGACAGAAAGCCTCATCTCCTAAACCATGTGCAGCGATGAACAATTAGATTCAGTTTTAATGTCATTTTATTCGCTAGTGTGACATTTCTCTCAGCCTCACCTGTGGTTTTTGTTTTGCCATTTTTTAAATTTTGCCTGAAAAAAAAATCAGCTTTCAAACAAAGAAGTCGAGGTGTTATTGAATCATGTATTCACAGAGACTAAAAAAAAAAAAAAAACTAGAGACGAAGCATTAATACTTACAGCAGGGTGACAACTATTTCAAAATGCTATTTTAGAAAATGCTGTGATACAGACCGCTTCCTAAACTAAAGACACATTACAGTTTAAATATTTGCCTTTAGATGACTTTGATGGAGTTCTCAAGTTTCCTGAAAGAGGCAGAATGTAGATTGTTTCCTGTTCTAGATGCAGACGCCCACTGCATGCAATCTGCGTTGTCAAATAGATCATTCAAAGACTGTCACTAATCCAGTATATGGCAAATATTTCAGTTGCAAATTTAAAACATAATGTTCATAATTATAATAAAAAAATAAAGACCTTCAGGTCAGTTCACCTTATCCATATGTATTGCTATAAAAAATGGTTTGCCTTTTACAACTTTTATTGTTTTTGCATTTTTGTACATGTTTAAAATCACTGGATAAATGTTATCAAGGATCACCTAACTAAATGCAAGTGCAGTTTTTATATTATTATTATTTAATCTATTAAGGATAAAACAGTTTGCATCCTAAACCTAATTTGTTGGCTACACATCAAGTGGTTACAATAACTGCCAATGTGTATTTAGCATTGCTGTGCGTGAATTTTGGCCTTCTCTCATTTGCAGAATTATGTTAAAAGTAACACATCAACAGTTAAAGTCCAGACTTTGACTACACCATTCATTTTGTTTGTTAGAACCAGTGAGAGTGACATATTGCAGTATCTTATAATCCCCTTGAGATTAAGGATGCAGATTAAGGTTGCAGACTTTCAGAGCATTCTGATTGAGAGCAGAATTCATTATTGTAAACAATATTTTGTCCAGGTGCTAAAGCAGTCTACAACCATCGCACTGCTGCCACCATATTTAGTTTAGGTTGGATTATCCTTTCCTGAAACAGTGTTTCACACCACAAGTAATGGAATACACGCCTTCAATAGTTTTCCACTTTTGTCTAATCAGTCTTTTAGAGTTTTGATATCATTAAAGAGACAAATGTTTTTGTTCTTTTTGCTACCAGATGTAGTATTTTTATGTTTTTTTATTGTACGGGTCAGACAGTTGGGCATAGGCCTGGCTCATGACGTTTTGTCGTAATTCGATTAGTTAATCAACTGATTTAACGAGGGGAGTAGGGCCAGGTTGTTTTGGGTAGCTTTTCTTACTTGATGAATAAAATTGCCATTTAATGTCTGTTTTAGAATTATCAAGTTTATTTCTGTCTCATATCATGTAAGTTTGATGATCCAAAGTGATTAAAAATAGAGGGCACTGTATGTTGTGGCCATTTTTGTTGAGTTTTTTTTTATTATTTTTTTTATCTCACTTTCTGTAAGTAACTGTAGATTACAAATGACTGTGCAATCTTGCATACTGATGTCTTGAGTATTTTCAATTTATGTCACCCAGAGTTGGCTTCCTTACTTTAGAAAATGCTTCCAGAATAAAATGTCATAATGAAGCCTTGGCAAAGCCATTCGATTAACTTGTACATTCACATGACATCGGGAATTTTAATTTTTATGACACTGATACACAGACTCATTTCTCATATCTTTGTTGTTTTTGTATTTAAATTTTTTCAAATTTGTTCAAAGCAGTTTGTCACTTCAGTCGTTAATATAAAACGATACTTTGATTAGGTTCACTTACTTTAAGTTGTACGAAATTATCGGTTAACTTTTGCAAGAAATCAAGATGGAAGGACATTCGGCAATAAAAGATCTGTTGCCATTCAGTCTGTTTTGTGATATTTTTAATTTAATTGCTGCTTTTTATTTTCTCAGGGGCTCCACCAGGTGATCAACCTGGTGACCCGGACAAAGACCCAAAGGCAGCAAACACGCCGGGAAAACAGGATCCACCTGGTGACCCGGACAAAGACCCAAAGGCAGCAAACACGCCGGGAAAACAGGATCCACCTGGTGACCCGGACAAAAACCCAAAGGCAGCAAACACGCCGGGAAAACAGGATCCACCTGGTGACCCGGATAAAGCCCCAAAGGCAGCAAACACGCCGGGAAAACAGGATCCACCTGGTGACCCGGATAAAGCCCCAAAGGCAGCAAACACGCGGAAAACAGGATCCACCTGGTGACCCGGATAAAGTCCCAAAGGCAGCAAACACGCCGGAAAACAGGATCCACCTGGTGACCCGGATAAAGCCCCAAAGGCAGCAAACACGCCGGGAAAACAGGATCCACCTGGTGACCCGGACAAAAACCCAAAGGCAGCAAACACGCCGGGAAAACAGGATCCACCTGGTGACCCGGATAAAGCCCCAAAGGCAGCAAACATGCCGGGAAAACAGGATCCACCTGGTGACCCGGACAAAACCCAAAGGCAGCAAACACGCCGGGAAAACAGGATCCACCTGGTGACCCGGACAAAGACCCAAAGGCAGCAAATACGCAGGGAAAACAGGATCCACCTGGTGACCCGGATAAAGCCCCAAAGGCAGCAAACACGCCGGGAAAACAGGATCCACCTGGTGACCCGGATAAAGCCCCAAAGGCAGCAAACACGCCGGGAAAACAGGATCCACCTGGTGACCCGGACAAAAACCCAAAGGCAGCAAACACGCCGGGAAAACAGGATCCACCTGGTGACCCGGACAAAGACCCAAAGGCAGCAAATACGCAGGGAAAACAGGATCCACCTGGTGACCCGGATAAAGACCCAAAGGCAGCAAACACGCAGGGAAAACAGGATCCACCTGGTGACCCGGATAAAGACCCAAAGGCAGCAAACACGCCAGGAAAACAGGATCCACCTGGTGACCCGGATAAAGACCCAAAGGCAGCAAACACGCAGGGAAAACAGGATCCACCTGGTGACCCGGATAAAGACCCAAAGGCAGCAAACACGCAGGGAAAACAGGATCCACCTGGTGACCCGGATAAAGACCCAAAGGCAGCAAACACGCAGGGAAAACAGGATCCACCTGGTGACTCGGATAAAGACCCAAATGCAGACCCAAATGGTGAATCCGATAACACAGATGATTTAGCTGGCGAATTGGATAACCCAGACGATTCACTTGATGAATTGGACAATAAAGACACAAATGGAGAAAAGACGCAGGGAAAGCACCCTTCAGGTAGTCAATTTGACAAAACAATGGATTCAAGAGAGATGGAGGGGGAAAACAGTCATTTCTTTGCCTACCTCGTCACTGGAGCTGTGCTGGTGGCTGTTCTCTACATCGCTATACACAACAAGCGCAAGGTACTTTAAACATACAATGAAATTGAACTTTATGGAACTCCAAAGTGGTGTGTGAAGGAGCCCTAAGCACAGTCAGACCACAGTTCTCTTATTGACAGCTAGTCTATAGGAACCTAAAGCAAATGTTTATAAAATAAACTGATCAAAATTTTATTTTTTAATTTTTTTATCCAGATTATCGCCTTCGCTTTGGAAGGGAAGAATTCCAGATCCACACGTCGACCTAAATCTTCAAATTACCAGAAGCTGGAACAGAATGTAAGTTGCAGCAACAATAAATTATGAAAAACCATCCTACTGCACAAACTCAGTCTGAAAGAGAAAATCTTTACCTTTTTATTTAGAAAAATCTTTCAACAAAATGTGAGATTGTAAATTTTCATGTTTAATGTTTTTTAAGAATGAATTGACATTACAAGAGACTGAAAGAACAACAATAAAGAGAAGTTTGCAACTGAGTTACGTGTTAGCTTTAGCCTGAGAGGGGAGTAAAAAGGGATTTGGAAAGAAGTATCGATCTGTAGGCTTTTAACGCAAACAGATTAAAGGTCCTTAGTGCATCCAAAGTCGAGCTGTTGCCACTTGCACTTATTGAACTAACTGGATCTCAGCAGGCATACAGTTTGGACCTCATTCCTCTCGGCTTCCTTAACAGAGAATTTGTAGCACAAACAACTGATTTGTGCTACCTGTCCTGGCCCAGGTAACTGGACAGGCAGGTTGTTCCAGTCTTTGGACCACACTGGAACCGGATTAGCTATATGACAGGGGGAAGCACCGCTGGATAGGTTTTTGAATATGTACAGTTTGTTTAAGGTCATGATGGAGAATCTCAGTCACAGTTTAGTCCAAACTTTAACTAGGCCGCTCAAAAGCCTTCATTTAGTGTTCTTCTTTTGATTCTTTAATTTGAAATTCAAAGGTGAACTTCAAAATTAATTTGGGTGCTAAATCAATAAAACACCCCAGATCATCACACTACCACCACCGCCATGTTTAAGCATTACGATGATGATCTATTTCACCACCTGCGTGGATGAGAGGCTCATCAAATCCAATCAAATTTTGGTGACTTTGAACTGTTTTTCTTACAGATGTGATCCAAAGTTGCCCACAGACGCTCAGGAGAAAACGGCTTTAGTAGACTGCGAGTGGATACAAATCATGGATCTGCACTAAAACTAAATGACCTGTTAAATGGACATTCTTCTATTCTTGACTTCTCAATGTTGCATGACTATGCAGATGACACTGATGCCTTATTGGGAAAGGGAGGGAGGTGGAGGGGACTCAGATAGAGGGAAGTAAATAAAGGACGTTATGTGAAACAGGCTTTCAGTATTTTGCAATCTAGGTTGCTGAAGGTCCTCACTCGGGATGTAAATCAGTCGTCTGCACTTCCGTCTTATGATACTGGACAGATTTCAACATGCACCTGAGGAAGTTGTCAATGTAATGTTTCTGTTTAAATGCCTTTATTTGCGCTGTTTCTTTACACAGTCTGTTTTGGAACCACTGTTGAAATCTTGTCGGTCCAATCATCGTATGCTTGGGCAATGGTGACATTTTGCTGTTTTGGGTGTGTGTTTGTTTTTGTCTCAACTTTCATACCACTTGATGGGTTGGATCTGTTGTCCACAATATACTTTTTCTACCTTCAATTGCATTTATGGGGTTGAATTTGTCTGCAGTCCTTGTTTTGGTTCTTTCAGGAAAAATATTGCTCTGTACACATAACATGACCACTAAAATAAGGAGTTTGTTCTTTCCCCTTGAATGAAGTTGTTTTTGTATTTAGAAAAAAAAAGCCATACCTGTGCCAAATTATTTAAGGAAGTATTGTGATTTATTGTGCTGCTGTCTTTTTTTTTCCCCTTTACCTCGTATTTTCAGTAATCTTTTTTTTCTAGCAAGTTTTGGTGAAAGAGAAAATAATCTGCTGCTTCCTGGAAGCCATGTTTGTAGTATGCCAAACAGTTCATCTTTTTGGTCCTCTGAGTTAAGTGTCACAATAGTTTCAGAAGGAATTGTATAGACATTCTGCTGTTTTACTTCATATCAAATATGAACAGCTGACTGCTTCTATTAAAAAGCTATTTGCTAACTTTCTTCTGTCACTTTTTTTCCCTTAGCACCTCTCTAATTTAATCCCTGCTATCCGCAAACAGGCATGGGTTAAAAGGGCAAAAAATTGCTAAATTACATTATCATTCCAGGACAGAAAAGGATGCTTCTTAATGTCTCTGGTTAAAGCTGATATGCACAGCATGACTCTCAACTGGATGGATAAAACATTTTATTATAAAACCGCTCTAGTTTTAAAAAGTGCCCTCAACTATAACAAGACTTCATGCTAGTTGCTTTATTTAACAGACACAGTACCTTGCAGAAGTACTCCCACATCCTGAACTTCTCGATATTTTCTCAAATTTGCAACCTTAAAGTATTTTATTGATATTTTATGAGGTACACCAAAACAAAGTAACAACTTTTTAAGAGTTCAAAGCTGGCAAATACAGCATTCCACTGAAGCTGATCCCACCTTTCGCTCTGACAGCAGTTTTCCGGTCCTCCCACAGATCGTACATCTAGATTCTGACTGAAAGTTCTGACACATGATGATGCTTTGATCTGAAGCTTCCTGTTGTTTGAGGTGAACCTCAGCAAGTCTTTTGCAGTCTTGACACTGATGTCCAAACTCCACAAAGGTCGGCATGTAAGGGCGGGCATTTATCCTATTGTCCTGAAGTGAAGTGATTACTTATGCTAATTATTCAATAAATAAATTTGAAAACTTGACTAATGCAGGTGTGATTTACAGTGACACAAATCACTCTTCTTTATGTGACTCCTGGTGTCGTAAAGATTAGGAATGTTTTTCTAAGAGCAGTATTTGTGCTTGTGGGACCTTGATTGCTGTGACATAATTGCTTGATTAGGCCCCAGTCAAACCGGGACCTAAAAAAAAAAAACTGCAATAAAGAGTTCTTATTGTCACATTTGTTGTTGTCATGATGCACAGGGCTTTGACAAAAGCATTACGAGACAGTAGGAGCAGTGAAAGGCTCCATACCATAGCTTACATTTTAAAATGTTTCAGTATCCTGGAACATCATCTTGATGGACCTAATGCTCAAGTATGCAAATAGTTAGAGTAACATTTTGCTTGAATTTCAGCATCTGTAATTTTATAACTATTTTCTGATGCAATCTAATCCCAACCTAATATCTATGTCATTATTTACAACTGGACATTCTGAGCATTAATCCATTATCCTATAGACATTTTTAATTGGCCACCGATCCATTGCCTTCTGATTTAGCAGCAGGTCCTGGAGGGAAACCCAGGCAACATACTGGGTGTATGTTGCCCAGTATGTTGCACTGGTGCCTTTTGTCCCATTGACTCATTTTGATGATGATGATGAGAAACTCCCCTGCTTGATGGAGCTCATCAGTCACCCACCATTAGGGTAGACCTTGTGGCAAAAGCTCGTTTAAGCCTCTTATATCTGACCTGATCTGGTTCTTAGAAAAAGAGAAACGAATAATTTGTTAAATAAGTTAAGAAAAAACATAAACACAGGCACATACAAACAAGTATTTATTTAGATGCACGGTGTCTCTTCACAGAAGCACCATGTTCCGGGTCTCCTCTTCATAAATGTCCGGTATCTCTCCTGCAGAAGAAGGCACCATCCTGACCGAACTGCTCCCACGCAGCTCTGCCTCGTACTGGATGAGCTGCCTCCAGAACCCGGGGTTCGGCCTGACGATGGGTCGACAGCTCCTCAGCAGCCGGTGTGCCTCCAGCAGGCTGGCCCCGCGGTGCTTCATGAGATAGGCCAAGCAGAGCGCGGCGGAGCGGCTCACCCCGGCGTTGCAGTGCACCAGAGTGCAGCCGTGGCGCTCTGCCGTGCTCTGGATTTTATCCGCCACCTGGTCAAAGTGGTCTCTGAGCGGGGACTGCGGGGAGTCAGGCACCGGGATGTGGATGTGCTCCACTCCGGGCGGAGGAGGAGTAGAGTCGTCCTTGGTTTCTGTGGCGCTTATGATGCAGGTTATCCCATTTCCGGCCACCTGGGAGCAGTCCTTAGCTGCTCTGCTGCTGCTCAGGAAAAGGTGCTCGGTGACCCGGCACAAGCCAGAGAGGCTTGTGGTGCCAGATTGATGCATAAACGATGAGAAAACAAACAGCCGGATGTCTGCAGAGCTTGTTAGAATGCGCCAACGCAGAGCGGAGGAATCTACGGTAACCGAGAGAGATCAAATATGAAGCAGCTCCGGTACTATGTCGCCCCCTGGTGGATGACATTTATTAAAACTGAAGCTAAAATGTCTGGTGGAAATAAAGAAAGTTTCTTATATATATATATATATATATATATATATATATATATATATATATTATATATATATATATATATATATATATATATATATATATATATATAATATATATATATATGTATAGATCACTCAGCATGATATATATATATATATATATATATATATTATATATAATATATATATATATATATATATATATATATATATATATATATATATTATATATATATATATATATATATATATATGATATTATTCTGGTCCAAATGGGCATCGATTGCACGATTACATTTTGATTATGTCCTAAACTGTTGAGAGTCTGAAAAGCTATCTTTGAGATTTCTCTGAAATAAGTGGACAAACCATAAATAACTCTGGGGATTATATAAACATGATGGAATCATGATGTAAACATAATTACCCTCCCTCTTTTATCGACAGGAGGCTCATTCTCCTCTGGATCAGAGGTTTTGGTGATATTAATCTGCTAATATCCTGACAACTATTCTCTTCTTGCTAGAAACTACAACAGCTTTAGCAGAGACACTGCCATTTTTGTAAAACCCATTGCACTGAATCTGCTCATTGCAATTATAAGATGCGGTTTAACGTGTCAGCTTTCAGATATATTGTGATGGTACTTCTGCTTGTAATATTAATGTCTGTGAATAAATATTTTGAATTACAATAGACTTTGACTATTGTAATTCTGAAATAGAAAATAAGAATAAAATCACCATGGGAAGGCCCACATACAGTCGTATTCAAGAACTTTGAGTATTATTGAAAAGTAAATTTTTTTTCAGTAATTCGTTTCACAAAGTGATGCACTGGGAATATAAAATGACAACATACACTGATTAGAAGATTTTATTTCTTCTAATCATGACGAGTTTTGGCAAACAGCCAACGAAAGCTCAAATTTAGGATTACATTATTTATATCAAGAAATAAAAACAATAATACAGAAACGTGAACTTAAGGAAAATATGTTTCTGCTGAGTGATCGATCTCTGGGTGTGTGAATGTAACACTGTCTGCGTGTTGTTCTGTGGCTATATGGACCAGCAACTCTGCAAGAATAACATGGATGGATCCGAATCTTTCATTTGACCCAGATGTCACTTGTTTAGAAATCTACCTTAGCCCACTGTTTTTAACTCTGGCAGCCTTCCAGTAAGTTAATTACTTTAAACCATTGTTTAGGTTAAATCTTAGCCATGTGGCATTAAACCTATGACCCAAACTTGTGCTAAATTACCCCCAGGAAATGATTGCTGCATATTGAACTCAGGACAAGATGAAAATAAAAACACAAAAAGGAATTGCTTTTTTTTTTTTTTGCTAAAAGATTAGTCTGATTTTTTGGCACGTGATTAAAGACGTAAAATAGCCTCGCAGCACCTGTTATAGAAATGACAGTGCAGCCACAGTGTGTGGATTTGAGGAGGCTGCGGTGCATTAGCCGGTGCCTGCAGGCAATCCTCGGTTGCCCAGGAAACACAGATGGTGGGATAAAGGGGTTGCATACAAAAGACCATAAACCTGTAGCAGCAGCTGGAGACCGAGCGCCGCTCATTCTCCCAGGACTGCGCAGTCTCGCTCATTCAAAGGAGCCTCTGTTCTCATTAATACCTTCGCTTCATCATCTTTGTCCAAAGCTTCCTGCTCCACTTTGTCCTGCTGCCCCCACCACCACCACCACCACCAACCCCCGCCAACTGAACTGCCGTCTCCCCCGTCAGTGCGCAGCAGCAGCAGCAGCATCAGCTGCTGGCACTCCCACATCTGCTCGTTTCAGCTCGGCGGCCATGAAGAGGACGCCGAGCCTCGGCTCACGGCGAAAGGCTGGAGACTCGGTCCGAGCAGCGACCTCCTTTACGTGGGGAAGGAGGATAAACTGCGCCAGCACAGCGGGGAAGCGCACGTTGTGCAGCTTTCTCCTAGGATGGAGGGAGAAGCGGAAGAAAGGGAAGAAGCCATGATCTCTTCCCTCCCTTTTATGCTGCGGGACAGATGGAACCTGAAGAGCTAAGGTATGGAAACATATTCCTCATTTTTCAATATAAACTTTTTTTTGTTGTTGTTGTTAGCTTTCTATGTGCAATTATGAAATTGTTCCAAGGAGTACATGGGGTTTTCTTAATGGTACTCCCTTGGCATAAAAAGGCCTGGAGAAAAAAAAAAAAAAACATTCTCAAATTTGTAGGCAGTTGTTGAAAAAATAAAAATACCTACATGTAATAAATCTTCACAATGAATAAAATAAAAAAAAAAAAAACACGGTCTTTCATAATCGGAAACAGCCGGCCTAAGGCAGAAGCAAGCTCTGCTGGCCGGGTCTCCTGGCCAGCAGGGGGCCCTCAAGAGAGGTTTCCTTCTGAGACAAAACGTTGCTGTAACACTTATCAAGCATTGCCCTGCTTTTAAATTTGCTCCTAATCTGTATTAATGTCAAGCAAATTTATGTGCTCAGGCGAATCACGCAAAACGAAAATATTCATAGTGTTGATAGCAATACTCAGCCATAATGTAACATGATTAGTTCAAGCCGATCCTACTTCAGCCTCTTTGTATTTGTAGTTAATTATAAATGTCAGGGATTAGCGGGTAACTACCAGAAGAAGTTTTTGATAAAGTGATTCCCCACCTCTGGTGATCTGCATAAAAAAAAAAAAAAACAGCAACAAAAAACTACCTGTCAGTTTAACCCGAAACCACTCCTCTATTGATTGTTTGCAGAGTTGCCTGAGCGGCCCTCGTGTTTTACGCTTTGCAAGCACTGCAAGTAAGTATGACACTTTATTGAACTGTTATGGTTTTCTGTTTAACAGGGTCTGTCTTAGATAGTCGCCGCATCCGATCGTTTCTAGTTTAAAGTCTAAAACTCATGCAACTGTTCGGAGCTGAAATGGGTTATTTGACTTTATATATTCGTTCGATTATTCAGGATTCATAAAACTTGATTTTATTTGTGAAAACAAAAAAGAAGACCTTCATGCCTTTTCTCAAAGGAAAGTGTAAAGGGCAATGCACACTGGCAGCTCTTTACACTGGCGTGGCAATCATTCAAGAGAGCTTTGACTTTATAACAGAACATTAAAATAATACAACTACATTCCAGCTTCTTCATCTGCTTGTTTTTTGCATAGTTTTGGTAGTTCAGGTGGTTGCATTGCAGCAACCTTTCTATTGGAAAAAGGTTAGAGGCTGAAATATCTATCTGTGGAAATAAACAATGCTAAGCTAATGTTTGTAAGTTGCTTAAAAGATGCTGAATTCAATGCAGCACCTGGTCACCGCTAAGCTGAATTATTGTACATTGATTGCTGAGTCAGTGAAACTGTGAGAACTTGATCAATGTGATAATTAAGCACAAACAATTAAACTGAGACATTCTTCCCAGACTCTACCGGAGTCTGTACTGAAAAGCTGTTCATCACATTTCTTAATATATCAGAGAAATTAACACGTCTCTACAGTTTGTTTATTTCATATTTAAAATGCAGAGTGTCCGCCTCTGAGCTGAAGACTAACACAGTTGTCAATGACAGCACTCTGATCTGGCATGACGCAGAGCAGAAAGTAGAGAGGAATAAAGAATGACCAAAACTGATTGAGAATAATGTGTTTGCTGTTTTAGCTGACCAGCGTTGTACGGGCTGGACTCGTCCCCAGAGCTGCTGACCCGGCACCGAACAGGACTCTGGGAGGATCCAACGACAGGGCAGGTTATGTGTTATCTTTGTTAAAATTGCTGGAGCAGATTAATCTTCACAGATCAGTTTCTGGTCGTTTAGTTATCAGTGTTATGTTCTTGTTTTGCGAATAATGAAAAGCTGCGACGGGAAAGAACAGGAGCCAGATCCCTTTGGGGTTCTTGATAGGACAGTTGGGTTGCGTCCCACTTTTCTGCTGCTTTGTGTTGTGTGTCCCATCTCCAGTTACACTGATGAAAAAGCAGATTTGGCCTCAACCAGATCCCATTGTGCCCCAGCTGGCGTTCCTTCATCTCCTTTGCTGCGCTGCCTTACAGAGCGGTACTGATTCTGCCACTTTCATGGTGACAGACCTTTTATTTCCCTCATATTCATTTTACACTCTTACCCTATATGGCTCTTTACTTTACTTGATTTTAACCACTCAGTTTATGCTTTATTAACTTAGTGTCCCTCTCGCTCTCAGACAGATTTCAGTGTATTTGTGTTTAGCTCCTGCATTATGGAAACATGAGCTGCAACATGAGAGTAGCAATGTGTTAAGCCACTGACATGTTTCTGTTGATGTGAATCTGCCTTATATGTAGGATTACAGTATAGAGATAAACCAACATGAAAGCATAGATCAAATCTGATTAACATAATCTGCCTCTCAGATTTATTTATTCAACATTATGTAGGATTATCCCCAGAAAACATTTTCTTTTTTTCACGATGAAGCTCTTTATGTGTCTCCTGCACAGGCACTGAAACATTTTTCAGTAATTCAGTTCAGAAAGCAGAACCCCTGCATGATAGTGATTTTACAGAGTGATGTGTTTCCATTCATTATTTCCGTCCACTTTATTCACAGCTAATAAAAACTTCAATCCGCAGGCGGCATGTCTGGCAGTGTGGGCAAGTGCCAATCCTCTTGGAAAATAAAATCAGCTCAGAACACATTGGAGCATTGCTTCTCAATTGAGATGTTTTTTAATCTTAAAATAAGACTTTGGACTGCTGAGCAACACTTCAGTCCTTTTTCCTCTTAGCGCACGCAGGTAGACATTTATGACATTTTCTCTGGTCCAGTGTAAAGGCTGTAAGCCATGTCCCGGATACATTTGTGTGTGGATGTGACTTTTCATTTTGCTGAAGAGCCACCACTTTTTCCTTCCAGTCAACCTTCCAGAACTCTGTGAACAGTGAGGTTTTTTGGCAACGCATTGTTTTGTTGCCCACCCTCCTCAATCATAAGAGCTTATTTAAAATGCAGTTAGTTTTTTGGCATTTGCATCTAAATGAACAGAAATTAAATTCTTAGTAATATCACTCTGACGGTTCTTAATCTGTATGAGTTTTACTGCTTGAACTGAATTACCCAAATTAAGTTTTCAATGAGTTTCAAACTGACAAAGATTCACCTATGAGGTTTGAAAATGGATCTTTATTCGCTGTGTTTGGTCTGTTTCTCTTGCAGTGCCAGAGTCTTGTGCCGTGATGCGTCTTCGAAGGAAAACCTTCAGCACTAGTGTGTCTCTCTAACAAGAGACAACGTCTGCCTCTGTTCATCAGCCAAGAGAAATTAGCTATTGCTTTGCCATCATTATCTGTTTAATCGTGTGGCTGCTGGAAGGGACTTCATTCAGAACCGCTTGCTGCACTGTTAAAGCTGTTTGAAAGCTTAATTCAGTCCCTCTCCTCGTACGTTTTCTGTTGATTCGATGCATAGAAACCTTCACTGTGAATCGACTCCACCTGAGTTACATTTTCTTGCAACTGATCGTTTCTCCCAAGCTTTCACCTGTTTATGTAACGTTACCGTCTGTGTCTTTTTGTGAAAACTGGCCTGCAGTGTTTCCAGATCCAAATCTATGAGGGGTTTACATTCAAGGCCTGTACAAACAAAAATATTATGTGCCAGTGTGTGAAAACGACGGCTGTTCTCACCTTCTAATAATGTGTAAATCACACATTTCTGTTTGTTGAGAAACCTCACGAGCTCAATGCGAAACCAGCTATTTTTACTGTACTATTCTTCAGTCGAACTGTAGGGTGCGTGTGTGTATGTGTGTGGGATGAACGCGCGAGTGTGTGTGTGTGGGAGAGTGCATGTGTTTCTCTGCATGCGCTCCATCTGTGTTAGTGGCAGTACCTGTGCACGTGTGTCTCATCAGTCCGATAAGATGTGTCTGTAAATGGCCTGAAACTGCCTCTAATATTGTTTCTAGCCACTGGATGTACCAGATGAGGGATAAAACATTATTTACTGATGATTCTTAGCATTTGTTACGGCCTCATTTAAAGAAAAAAGAAAGAAAAAAAAATCAGAGTTACTTGTGATTTAGATCACAAGGATGTCATTGGAAATTAGTGTGGTCCAGTTTTCTCAACGATGCCTGCTGGCAAAAGTCAGACGGTTTCAGTGCCAGCAGCCCCATCATTTAACACTTAAGCAAATTACAGCAAATGCTAATAATGATGTGTAAATAGCCTTTTACCCACGTCTGGATTGCACTAACAGTATCTGACTAATATCTAACAGTACTAACGTCTGCTAACAGTTGAAGGATTACTAACCCGTGTTGAGAATGCAGACGGCTTGCATTTCTAACCCACTAACTTCCCTTTCTGCTTTATGCACACTTCAAAATGCACACTTCTCTTGCATGATCCTGCAATTCTTCTTTTAGAGATGTCCAACTCGGAGATCCCAAAGCGAGCATGGAAAGAAGGGTTTCAGGACTGAGGAAGGGCAACGTTGAAAACGTAGAAGAAAAGCAGCAGCAGCAGCTGCTGAGGTCAAACTCGGTTGACCACATACTTCACGAAGTGTAATCTGATCCCAAGCGATTTCATTTTAAAGGCTAACTTTGTATGCTTTTAAAAAAATTTTTATACAGCAGTTTTCTCTCTCTCTGATTGTATTCTGTGTGGTCAACCCGGCCTTTTTGTCCCTGCAGGTAGTAACTAACTCCTAATAGTGCTCATACTAACAATGTAGAGGCTGTATCTGCCACTCTTACTAACATCTTCCTGTCGTCTGATTGATTTCACGTTAATTAAAGCATGCTGTGGTACCAGTGATGCTGATTATAAGACAGTCAATTGGCTTTCCCACCCCCCAAAAACATCAACTTTCCCAAGTGTGTTTTAAGAGCTGAGTTGAGGTTTTATCTCTTAAAAAGCAACTTAAATGTTACTAACCAGAGGAGCTTCCAAGAGCTCTGCAAACTAACAAACTAACCTACTAATAAACTAATTTTCTAACCTTCACTAACTGAAATCACTAACTGTGTTTTTAATGTGACATAGCGCCTTCAAACCGAGGAGCTGCATTGCTTCCTGAATGTATTTAAGAGTGTTTGAACGGCTGTTGGAGAAGAAAGAGTGCGTGCTGTAGTCAAAATCACCAATATTCTTTATATAATTGTCATTACAAATATTTTTTAAAGTTACACGTTTACACCAAAATTGGTGTTGTTCCCTCACCAAAAACATACCTGAAATGTTGCTTTCATTCTTTCATGCATGTTGGAGAAATCCTTGAATCTGCTGTGGCAACCATTCAGCTGTGTTATATGAGCCACGTCTCAGTGAAACTGGTAGAAATGTTGTGAAAGAGTTAATATTTGTGATGGTGTCCTGAAGGCAGAGTGTGAGAACGAGAAAGATCTTCCTAAAGAAACAGGCCTAATTTGAAAGTTTAAATTACAAAGTCAAATTTCTTTTAAGTCAATTTGATCTATACAGCATTTTCATAACAACTGAGTTATTTGATCATGTTATAAATGGCTATATATATTATATTATATATATATATATATATATATATATATATATATATATATATATATATATATATATATATATATATATATATATATATATGTATGTATGTATATATATATATATATATATATATATATATATATATATATATATATATATATATATATATATATATATATATATATATATATATAAAACACAATACTGCCCTTTTTAGGGGATTTTGCTATTTGCTATAACTATGCTATGCATTTTTAAAAATCTTAATTGAGGAAAGATTTTTTTTGCTGGCAATATTATTATTATTTTTGTTGTTCTTTTTGAAGACCCCGAACTTGAAGGTCTGGAGCTGACTTTAAGAGCACCTCTGGAAATATGAATTACCATAAACGGAGCAGGGCTGAAAAACAAATATATGGATTGTTGTTACAGAATGTTTTTCCTAATAACTTGTTCAACTCAAACCAACTATTTGCATCAACATTCTTAAAAGTTATAGGAAGTTTTAGCCTGCTACATAGAAAAAACACATCAAGTTATTTTTCTAAACTGCACATTACTATTTTTACCACTAACTATGATTTGTCTGTAATTAAACAAATAAGAATTACTGTCACATTATAATTAATTCAAATTTTCTGATCTTTATAAGAAGATGAAGCTGGAGAGATGGAAAGGATTGTTTCTAATCAGCAGATTCTCCTTTTCTGCAACAGGAGGTTGGATTGCTATAAGACATTATGTTCCCGTACTTTAGGAAAAACACACATTTTCTGAGAAATATGTTTAATAGTCTGCTATACTAAGTTTTCTTTGCTGTTTTTGGCAATGTAAGCATGTTTGTTTTTTTTTTTTCCAGATTATGTTTGTAATTCTGTAAATCAGCGATGATAAATTGTCCCACATTTCACCACAATACTTTGAAAATGTAATAATATCTCAGCAGTTGTCAGATTCGCCGGAAGAATCATGAATGTAAGAAATGTATGACCTTTTTATCGCTTCATTGTTTGTTGTCTGAACTATTTCTCTGTTAAGAGCAGGTTTTGTGTACAAGTAAATAATTTTTGTTGTGTTTCCTCTGTTATGTCAAAATAAAGAAACAACGTAAGACAAGTCAGGTTTTCAATAATAACCAGTGATAAATCAGAAAAATAGCTTTCTGAATCCATTTGAAACAGATTTTTTTCTATGTTCATCCCATTCTTTTCTTTATTTCCTTCTTTCTGTCTTTAATCCTTTCTTCCATTCATATGATCTTTTTCTTATTGTTATAAGACTGAATATCATCAGTTTCTGAAGACAATCTGTGACTAAGCATTTCACACACACACACACACGCACGCACCAATTATAGTGTAGGTTGAAGGTCAATTTATAGTATGGATATATATATTCATTCTATATATATATTGATATATTCATAGTATTCATATTCATACTATAAACTGAGTAGTGTTTCATTTGCATAAGAAAGGAATAAGAACAACTAAATTAGAGTATTTGTTTTTATCCAGTAATTTATAATACAGTACTAACATGGTCACTTTTAATAGTAGTCATATAACAGAAACAGAATCAGTGATTGCATGAATTTGAGACAGTTTAGTGTTTGAAACTTGTTTTTATATGTTGTGGAATCATTTGGTTTATTTTTTAGCCAGATTTTGTTTGAGTGACTAATGATGGAAATTAGTCATTACAAAATAATAATAATAGCCTCCATAATATATTATTATTATTATTATTATTATTATGGGGGCCTGCAGTAGAAATGCATGGCTGGCCCCTATTGTTCTTCACCTCATAATAACTGCTGCTTCCTGCTATCGTTAATGCGGCCCGTACCGCTGCATGCTCCTTCATAATACAGTATATACAGTATATCAAAACGTGCGGCTCGGTCCCAACATTGGAGCTGTTACCTTTTTTTGGCATTTTGAGTAACTGGCAACATAAGTAACAAAAAACGAGCCAAATTCAAGTCAAAACAAAAGACGAACTGACACAAAAAAGTGTTAGTTTCACTCAAAATAGACAGAATTTTGTCTCCCTCTGAGCTGCTTTTTAGAACTACAGTGATGGCAGAATGTCAGAATTACAAACATGGTGGAACAACTGATATAAACTCATTGCGTCTCTGAATCGTGCTGTTTTCTTTATATCTTATATGCATATCATCTAATGGTGGCAAAAGCAACAAACAAATCTAGTATGCTCTGGACTTAAGATGGAGTACATGTACACATATTCTTGACATCCTTTGATTAAATTAATAAATGTAATTCCAGTACCAAAAATTTAACTTTATACCAGGTGAGTCTCTCTAAGCTGAGAATGTGAACCTGTACTGGGCTGATTCTGTGTGTCTTCAAATCATTTTAACAATGCTCCTGTAGAAGATTCATAACTTATAACTTATAAGTCTGAAACAGGAAGAGGTTTGGAAAAAACAGTCTGTGTGCTACACTCAAGAGAGAGATTCATTTGATGGATCAAAGAGTGATGTTATCACTGCTGATGTCATTGTTGCCATTGAAGCTGGACATTTTAATAGTGCATTCACATCAAGCACGTTTTGAGCGTCAGGAAATTCTGGTTTATATTCAAAGTCTATGTGGAGTGTTGCATAGACTGCAATTTGAACTCCAAACGGTTCAAATCGCTTCGCGCTAGATGCCCGAAGCGCACCGCAATAGCCCTCGACGCTCCACCACACAGACTGAATGCAAAACGCTTTTAGTGTTAACACACCATTATATGTCCAGTGTCACATTAGCTCAGTGCTTCTCAGTCCAGTGCTCAGGCCTTCTGCTCTGCATGTTTCAGAACAGCTGATCTAAATGATTGCGTGACATTTTTTCATAAAAACTGACTGTCTCACAAAGATAGAACTCTTTCTCCATCTTTCTGTCTCACAAACAGACAGTTAGCAGAGGATTCGTTACCATAGCAATGGAACACAGCAGTGCAGAGCAGCTGATTAGGACTACAAAAACGCATCACTGTAGTTCTAACTATGGAAGAACTCTCTGGAATGAGCTGGACTTTAGAACTACTTTTGTTTTGGGGCTTTTATAATTGATTTTAACCAACCATTGATACACACTGGATTAGTGTGGCAATTTTAAATTAAGCTTAAAGAAAATTACAAAATAAAAGACTTGACCATTTTTACATCAGGTAATTGCTCTCTTGGGCATGCCCCACATGCTACTGACAGCATTTAAAAAAAATAAAACCAGTGTTACCACTTTGGATTAGTTTGGCAATTTAAAATGAAGCTTAATGAAAATTTCAAAAATAAAAGCCTTCACATTTTTTTTTACAGAATGTTGCTGTTTTGGACATTTTAGAAGTGATTTAACCCAATCAGTGTTACTCATGGGATTAGTTTGGACATTTAAAATGAAGCTTACTGAACATTTCAAAATAAAAGCCTTAATATGTCTCTCTGGCTAGTGCAGTGCCATAGGCGATGCAATAATATTAGCTTGCATTTTCTCTTTCTCTCAGATTAGGGTGCACGACAGTGCATTAACATTAGCACAAACATTAGCATTTCACTGCCCCCCACTAGTGTACCAGCTAGGGCGGTGCAATAAGATTAGCCTTCATTATCTCAAGTTAGCATTATCATTAGCCTTTTATCTTAAATAAGGTATTAGCTATTTCTCTTACTTATTAGCCATGTTTAGTATATTGAATGGAGTAAATCAATTATAGACAACATGCTAGTGATGCCCCACATGCTACTGACAGCATTCACAATAAAATGAGCATTTTGGCTCATTTTAGTTTATACACTAATTTTAACATACTGAATGGTTCAAGTCCATGTTAGTCAACATTTTATTGTTAAGCTTAGGATTGATTTTTAGCATCAGAAAGCTGAGTGCAAACCGACGGGAACACCTTGGCAGGCCCCGGTTAAATTTCTTCAGGAATTTTGTAGTTATTAATTAATAATAACAAATAATTATTGTTATTATTAATTCATTTTTTAAACACATTCCTTAATAAAAGAACTTGAATGTGCTAACTGTTCTGCCTAAATCATGGACAGATTTTTATGTGCAAATATGCAGATTTCCAGCAGAGAGCAGCATCTGACCATGCAGTGTGTTTATTGCAGTTTGCTCCATTGCTTGAGGTGTAAGATTTCATGCTGATATTGATATTCATGTAATAATGGTGCAATGACATCACATTATTTGGGGATCAATTGTCCAATAGAGAACTTCTACAACTCTACATTCAAATGCAAATCTGTCTAGAGCCCTATTTAGAACTGAACTCAAATAGGAAACAAAAAAAAAAGAAGAAAAAACTTTCATCGCTTCTCTGTCCTGGAGTTTGTTCTCCTAACAACTTTTCCTTCTGAAATAGCATTACCGGTCAAAGGGAAATAACTGTTACTGTCAAGGTGGATGATAAAACAGAGCAGAAGGCAGCTTCATTCCAGTGACCTCCTCCTCTGTTTGCATCAGACTAATGGAGCTCTGCCCCTCCCTCACTTGAGCGCCGATGCATTCCAGATGACAAGGGTTTCCAAAGGTAGTAGCAACAGGGTCCAGGTCTTCATGGGTCAGCTGTAATTCACCACAGAAACTCAGAGAAAAGAGTCCTAACAGAAGGATGGAACTAAGTTAAAGTCTTAAATATCACGTAAAGTCCAGTTGAAAGGTAGCGATGTTGGAAAGAGAAGCATAATCGACTTAAGCAACATCTTGTGGTGTGTGGTTCTTTCTCCAAACACATCGGGACTCAGGTTTACTGGGACATGGATACCACAGGGACGTTTATGTGTTAAAGGGAAACAATGGGGGCTGGTAGCAGAAAACTGTAAAATCTATTTTAATTTTAATAACTGGTTCAGAATATTTTTTAATTGAAGCCAATTCTTCACTCCTGTCTCCCTGTTCTGCCTTTACTAAAATAAGGAATGCGATGACAGAGCTTGGCTGTTTACATCTCTGACGGCGTCTGATCCA